TGGGCAGCGAGACCTCATCTCTACAATAAATCAAAAAATCAACTGAGCGTGGTAGCGCGTGCCTGTAATTCCGGCTACTTGGAAGGCTGAGGTAGAAGGATCACCAGAGCCCAGCAGGTCGAGGCTGCGGTGGCCGGGAGCAGCCACTGCACTCCACTCTGGGTGACAGAGTGAGACTCCAACTAAAAAAAAAACCCAAACAAATACATGGTGAGAAAGGAAGTTAGAGAAAGCCAAGATATGGCAGAAAGCAAAGAAAATCCTACAGTAAACACATATCCCCAGGAGATAGAAGAAAATAGTATAACTATGACATAATCACAGAACTGTATTTAAAAGCTAACAGAAAGTATGAAAAGAGCTCTTAAAATAGCTGAGACAAGTTTAGTAGAAAGTAAAGTAAGAAAATAGCCTCCAAAATAGAACCAAAGATAAAGAGATGTCCAACAGGAAAGGAAAGATAAGGACATTCTAAGATTAACTCCAGAGTCTCAAAAACAAATAATAAGGTTAAATAATAATTGAGGACTTAATATGGGTCTGGCACTATTTTAGTGGCTCAGACATCTTAGTGAGATAATTACTATTATTATCCCCATTTTACAGATGAGGAAACTGAAGCACAGCAAGATTAAGTGACTTGCCCAAGGTCATATAGTAGAGCCAGAACTTTAACTCAGGCAATCTGATTCTGGAGCTTTTATGTTCTCAACTACTCTGCTAGTATGGCCCTTTCCCAAAGAGAGAATTTTTTTTTTTTTTTTGAGTTGGAGTCTCACTCTGTCACCCAGACTGGAGTGCAGTGGCCGCTCCCGGCCACCGCAGCCTCGACCTGCTGGGCTCCAGCGATCTTTTTACCTCAGCCTTCCAAGTAGCTGAAACTACAAGTGCGCACTACCACACCTGGCTGAGTTTTGATTTATTGTAGAGATGAGGTCTTGCCAAGTTGCCCAGGCGGGTCTCGAACCTGCAGGCTCAGGCAATCCACTCACCTCAGCCTCCCAAAGCGCAGGATTACAGGCTGAGCCACTGAACCCGGCTGAGAGAAAATTTTAAAAAATTGTTTTTAACTTGCGTGGTGGCTCAAGCCTGTAATCCCAGCAATTTGAGACGAGAGGATTGCCTGAGCTCAGGTGTTCAAGACCAGCCTGAGCAACATAGCAAGACTTCATCTCTACAATAAATCAGAAAAATTAGCCGGGTGTGATGGCACATGCCTGTGGTTCCAGCTACTTAGAAGGCTGAGGCAGAAGGATCGTCTGAGCCCAGCAGATCGAGGCTGCGGTGGCCGTGAGCAGCGTGCCACTGCACTCCAGCCTGGGCGACAGCATGAGACTCTGACTCAAAAATTTTTTTTGAGTCAGGGTCTCACACACTGTCACCCAGACTGGAGTGCAGTGGCATGATCACAGCTCACTGCAGTCTCAAACTTTTGGGCTCAAGTGATCCTCCTGTCTCAGCCTCCCTAGTATCTGGTACTACAGGTACATGGCAGCTCACTTGGCTAATTTAAAATTTTTTTTTGTAGAGACAAGGTCTCACTATATTGCTCAGGCTGGTCTTGAACTCTCCTGGGCTCAAGCAATCCTCCTTTCTTAGCCTCCTAACATGCTGGGATTACAGGCATGAGCCACACACTCGACCAGGAGAGGAAATTATTCAAAAAATATTTCAAGAAAATTTCCTTAACTGGGCATAAGCTTCTAGACTAAGTGTCTATTGAGTTCTCAGTATGATGAGTAAAAGAACACCTGAACAAAGTCACATACTTATGACATTTCAGAAGACTAAAGATAAAGAGATTATTCTAAAAGTTTCCAGAAGGGAAAATTCTAGGTCAGAAGGGAATGAAAATCTAGATGGAATTGAGGTTCTCAACAGTAACATTAGAAGCCCAATGGTAAAACAGCAATTTCTTTCTTTTTCTTTTTTTTGAGCTGGAGTCTCACTCAGTCACCCAGACAGGAGTGTAGTGGCCGCTCCCGGACACTGCAGCCTTGACCTGCTGGGCTCTGGCGATCCCTCCGCATTAGCCTTCCAAGTAGCCGGAGCTACAGGCGCGCACTACCACACCCGGCTAGTTTTTTGATTTACTGTAGACATGAGGTCTCGCCAAGTTGCCCGGGTGGGTCTTGAACCAGCAGGCTCAGGCAATCCACTCAACTTGACCTCCCAAAGTGCTGGGATTACAGACTGAGCCACCAAACCCAGCCAAAACAGCAATTTCTATGAAATTATGAATGAAAAATTTCAACTTGGAATTCTACACTTGGTCAACTCTCCATCAAAAGTAAAAGTTGGCTCAGTCTGTAATCCCAGCATTTTGAGACGCCAAGGCGAGTGGATTGCCTGAGCCTGCGGGTTCGAGACCCATCGGGGCAACTTGGCAAGACCTCATCTCTACAATAAATCAAAAATTAGCCAGGCGTGGTAGTGCACACCTGTAGTTCCAGCTACTTGGAAGGTTGAGGTGGAAGGGTCGCCTGAGCCCAGCAGGTCGGGGCTGCGATGGCCAGGAGTGTGCCACTGCACTCCAGTCTGGGCAATGGAGTGAGACCTCAACTCAACAACAACAACAACAACAAAAGTAAAAGTTGAATAAAGATAGTTCAAGTATATGTAAGAATCAAACTTCACCAGGCACGATGGTTCAAGCCTGTAGTCTCAGCAGTTTAGGAGGCAAGAGGCAAGACGACTGCTGAGTCCAGGGGTTCGAGACCAACCTGGGCGGCTTGGTGAGACCTCGTCTCTTACAATAAATCAAAAAATTAGGTGGACATGGTGGTGTACGCCTGTAGTTCCAGCTACTTGGAAGGCTGAAGCAGAAGAATTGCCAGAGCCCAGCCACTGCTCTTCAGCCTGGGTAACAGAGTGAGACTCCAACTCAAAAAAAAAGAACTCACACTTTTATCTTCACCGTTTCTTTGGTTGTTACTAGAACATTTGCCATGGAAAATGAGGCAGCAGCTGGGCTCAGTGGCTCAGCCTGTAATCCTGTGCCTTGGGAGGCTGAGGTGAGTGGATCGCCTGAGCCCGCAGGTTTGAGACCGGCCTGGGCAGCAAGACCTCATCTCTACAATAAATCAAAAAATCAGCCGGGCGTGGTAGCGCATGCCTGTAATTCTGGCTACTCGGAAGGCTGAGGCGGAAGGATCGCTGGAGCCCAGCAGCTGAGGCTGCAGTGACCGGGAGCAGCCACTGAACTCCAGTCTGGGTGACAGAGTGAGACTCCAACCCCCCCCCAAAAGAAAATGAGGCAGTAAAGAAAGCAAAAGACAAAAGACACAGAAATAGGGTCCTCAGGCAGGTACAATGGCTCACACCTGTATTCCAGCACTTTGGGAGGCTGAGGTGAGAGGATTGCTTGAGCCTAGGAGTTGGAGACCAGCCTGGGCAACACAGCAAGGTCTCATTTCTAAAATAAAAAAATATTACAGCCTGGGCAACACAGCAAGACCTCATTTCTAAATTAAAAAAAAAAAAAAAAAAGCCAGGTGTGGTCATGCCTGTAATCCAAGCTACTTGGGAGGCTGAGGTGGGAGGATTGCTTGAGCCAGGTCGAGGCTGCAGTGAGCCATCTTGCCACTACACTGTAGCCTCGGTGACAGAGTGAGACTAGAACGCAAAAACAAAACAAAACAAAAAACCCCAAAAAACAAAAAACAAACAAAAAAGATCCTCAATCTACAAATTCAGCAGTGTCCTAGGAGGACAACTGAGCAGCAGATTCACAGCAACTCATCTCCACTGGAAAAGGAGGACAGTGGAATTCTGAAGTAATGTTTCGGGGTGGGGTGGGGATGGAAGTGACTTGTAAAAAAAATCAAGATAGATGCATAAGAAACTAAGTAAATAGATACAGGTTTTATAACAAAGAAAAAACAACAATAGTACACTAGTCGGCTCTGCTGTCACTGATATTTGCAGTCACTTACTTAGACCCTAAACGGTGAAATAATTGTGTGGGAAGAATGGCTGGAAGGGGAAGCTGGGTAGAGTGAAAGACTTAAATCCTAATCTGAGGCAACATGCAGTCAGAGCACAACATCTATTGATAAATCAACAGATGGCACCATAAATTATTTGGCAATAGGGAGGTAAATGACAGAAGAGACAGCTAGAAGTGCAAGTGTAGTGCAGCTGCCTCTAGAAAGGAGACGGTGAAGGCAGGTGCTGCAGTGCCTTAAAATATATTAAAATAGCATATCTGCATCATCTTAAAAATATCACATATCTTTTAAAAGTATGTGATTTTATTGTCTGAGATTAAAACACGGAACAACCAAAACCTTGCCTCCTAATTTTCAGGAAATATGTGATCCATAAAGATTAAAATAGAAGTTGTGTCAATTCTGGCAACTTTTGTATTCACTTGGAATAAAATACGGTAAACTTTCCATGTCTTCCTTTATGTCCACAATACATATGTATAGGCTAGATTCCTGTCAGAACTTCCACAGATACTTCACCCTTCGGAAGTGGCGGTTATGAATTACACCTTTGCTAATTTGCATTGTTCCCAACCAGGAGAAACTGAACCACAAAAAAGTCAGTTTCATCCTGCAGTGTTCCTGTAGCAACCATATGAAGCTGGAAGGATAAAGCACCTTGTAGTAGTTGTTTCTGTTGAATTACAATGTAAATGTTGATACCTGCCTGGAAACGTCAAATGACAACAGGCTTATGGAACGAATGCAGCGGTTGTTTGCAGTTCTGGAATCCCAGGTTGCAAAGCTGAGATCGAAGAGGTGCGCTTAGGCCATCTTTGTCTGTTCAAGCAAATCTCCTCACTCCATCAAAACCGCACGACTAGCTCATGAAAGGATGCTCATCTATTTGGAAATCTGTAATCTATTTGGTATCTTTTACACTGTAGAACAGCAAAAGTGTTTGTTGTGGATAAGAATGTTAACAATTCAGTTACGCAACAGACCAGACAATCTTTGTGACTCTTTCCCTCTCTCAGCACAAAGTAACTTTCCTCCCGTTCTCTTCTGCCACCGTCCAACAGTCCTCTTTAAATACCGGCATTAAATGCCTTGTGGTGCGCTGCGCATTTGATTCCGGTTGGCTTGGGACACCTGAGTCCCGCTCTAGTTGTCCTTCCGTTCGACCCACAATCCCTAGTGTTTGCAGGTGTTGCATCTCCACTCCCCTCCCTCCGCTTCCTTCAGTCCCCCCGCCCCCGCCACCTTCCCACCCCTTGCCTCGGGGAAGAAGGAAAAAATAGCTTGAAGTCTACTCGAAGAACTGACCCTCAGCTCCCACAGGCTGCCGCCAAGCTGCAAGCGTGCCGCCGCTCCACGCAGGTAAACTTCGGAGTGAGTTACCTGCACTTGGAGAAGGGCCTTACCTGAGCGCGCCTCTGCCAATGGCAGCTCACCTGAGGGAGCTCCGCAGCCAATCACCGCGCAGCTCGTCCCTCGGGCTTGTACCCTTTAGTGAAAGAATTCAGCTCCTTGCGAGAAAGTTACCTGTGGCCGCCCAAGTCCGCCTCTTTCTGCTCTGTGTCTGCCCATTGCCACGATCCAGGAGGACTCCGCGCCGCCCGGCCGCCTCCCAGCTCGGGCCCCATGCGAGGGGCCCCCCCTTATCCCACCTTTCCGGCTAGGTGAGGGCGCGAGCGGGCGAGAGCGAGAGTGGTGAGGGGGGACGGAAAAGCAGAATTACCTGTAGCTCTTGTTCTGCCATCTCGGGCGCTCTCACACACCTTCACCTGCACAGACCTGAAAGTCCAGTTTCACCAGAGACAGAGGCTCCAGGAAAAGGGGAGCGAGTTCATTGGATCAAACATGTCACAAGAGTCGGACAAGTAAGTGGATCACACGCGCCGGCTCCTGCTGCTACCACTTTGGGCTGATGGCAACTGGTTTGTTATGTTGTTGTTGCTTTTTTTTTTTTTTTTTAAGTTACTATTGTTGGTATTTTTACTTTCTTTTTTCTTTTTCTTTTTGGTGGATCCAGACTTTTCCCGATTATGTTTCTACCCTGATTAAGGGGAGAAATCCTACAACAATGTGAATGTGTAATACCCCCTTTGGGCCTTGATAGTAAAAGTAGGTTTTCCTCTTTCCTTCCTCCCTTACGAGTGGTCTACGGTCCCGCGCCCCGGATGAATACGCGGATGTCGACAGAGGTTTTGGTAGGTGGGCGCGGGAGGCCTGTGGTTCCCGCTCTCCTTGAGTCGCTCCCACCGCTGCAGGCTTCCAGGGTCATCGGGAAGTCAGGCTGAGTTCCTTGGATCTGTCCAAAGGGCCTGCAGGAAAAGCGGGTCTTGGCCGCTTTTGTGTGAGCGCAACAAAGAGCTTTTATACCCGAGCAGAAACGGCCATCTTCCCGCATCCGGCAGGAGGGCGCGTGTGCGCCCGCGGGTGCGCCCCC